TGACAGGCTTCAGGCAGGTAGAAGTTCAAGTTCAGTCTAACAAAATGCCTGCCAGGTCTCTCCAGCCTGACAGAACTGTGAATCACTGCCTCCTGGGAAGAAGCAAGCCCAGGTGCTTTTCTTAACACAGAGTACTGGATCACACGAAAACGACCCCTTCTTCTTCCCAGATGTGGTCACTATTGTACTAAATTGCACCAAGCTAAAGAGCTTCTGAATGAGTGAGATGAGGTGGGTTTTAAGCTGCTGCTAACTTAAGGAGAAGACATGATCCCATCATCTCTACCTTCATTATGGAAAAACTTATGTTGTTTCTCATTGGCCTACCTACCACAGAGCCCGGTGTCTGGATGGCCACGGTGCCAGTAAGGATACTCCATGTACAAGAGGTGAGAAGGCCAGAAGCCACTTCCCAGACACGGGTATTGGAACTTCTTTCTTTCCTAGGCTTAACTTTCCAGGTAAGGACAGTGCTTTCTGCCTCAAATAAGCAACTCTGGCTTTTCTTAGCTTACGATATCTTGAAGATGGACACAAGAGATGGAAAAACATGCACAGCTCAGATACTTTGATCACCTCTACTACAAAAGCAGCTTAACCCCTGAATCCCCTTAATCCAAGGAAGTGTCCTTTTCCTGTTATCCTGACTGCTAAATAGAAGGCCTGGGAGGAAGGCATTCCCAAAGTGTGTGTGTTTTTTGTTTTTTGGTTTTTTTTTGGTAAAGAAGATTGGCTCTGAGCTAACATCTGTGCGAATCTTCCTCTATTTGGTATGTGGGATGCCACCACAGCATGGCTTGATGAGCGATGTGCAGGTTCACACCCAGGATTCAAACCTGTGAACCCCAGGCCGCCAAAGTGGAGCATTCAAACTTAACCACTATGCCACTGAGTTGGCCCCCAAAGTTTTTTTTTTTCTGCTTTATCTCCCCAAATCCCCCCTGTACATAGTTGTATATCTTAGTTGTGGGTCCTTCTAGTTGTGGCATGTGGGATGCCGCCTCAACATGGCCTGATGAGCGGTGCCACGTCTGCACCCAGGATCCAAACCGGCAAAACCCTGGGCCGCTGCAGTGGAGCATGTGAACTTAACCGCTCGGCCACAGGGGCAGCCCCCAAAGTTTTTTACAGACACATTTATCCTCACCTGCAGCCACAATACTCTATCTGCACCTGAGGTGCCTCAGGCCAGAAGGCATGCTGGGTGCTGGTTAGGCCTCGCAGGGCCAGCAGCAGTGCTCAGCCAGTGCTGCCGCTGCCCCTGTCAGACTGTCACTCCCAGGGCATGATCCATGTGGGCATAGCTGAGGTGCTGCATGGCAGGCTGCCCAGCTGCCTGGGAACAGGGCCATGACCGAGATGTGTGTCTGGAGCAGAATAAAGTGCCAGTATTGGGCACATTTGCCCGGGTGTTCTTTGTATTAAGGGAGAAGGACAGTGGGGAACTTACAATTGCTTCACAGTAGGGCTGGACAGTTCTCTCTCTATCTAAATTGATTTGTTACTTCCCTCTGAACACAAGAGGAGGCTAAGGATCCAGGAGGGGACCTCAGGTCACAGCAACTCAAGAGGCCAGGCAAGGAGGCCGTCCCGCTCCACAGCCACTCTCCCAGCTCCTGGTTCTGTGAGGAGGTAGAAGGACGTCAGAGAGACACAAAGAGGCCTTGGAGGGCTGGGGCTCCAATTCCAGAGAAGGAATTTAATTTCCTTAAGCCAACTAGAAAGGTAGGATGTTCACCTCCCTGTACAGACTCTACTGAGCCCTAGTTCTGAGAATCCAGGGTCAGGACTGGTCCAACAATGCAAGACTCTGGTAATGGGGATTACACCACATTTCTTTCTGGGTTAATTCTTCCCTTTTGCTCTGCCAGGAATCAATGTAGGTACCATTTTCACACTCGCTGTCATACTCACAGAACTGCAAACCAGTAATGAATAATCTCTCACCCAGACTAACTACATAAAATGACAAAAAGGCGTTTTTTTAAAAATAAAAATTATGAAAGAGATGAAGTTACCTGCTAAGAAATGAAATATTACTAATTATCCTTAGAGAATAAACAGTAATTCTGTTTCTGAATACAGTCAATCAGTTGTGCATTGGTTTGTTTTAGTGATACGACAGCATGCTCCCCAGTGCAGAGGCTGGTTTGGGAAGAGATTGGGAACCCAAGATAACAGCCACTCCCACAGGCTTTCTCCTAAATCAGATTTTTCTCAGTGGAATTGGCTTTAGATCACAAAGGGAAAGAATTCTTATTTAATTTTGATCAGGCACAGTATTTAGCTGAGGTAAAATCTGGGGAAATCCTAAGAAAAGTAGAACACAGGGAACTAGAATTCCATCTGGGCTCTGACATACATTTACTTTGTATCTTGGATGATTTACCAACTCTTCTTTTTGCCTCAAACTCCCAATCTGGAAAATAAGGTCATTTTCACCCACTTTGTGAAAAAGCATTTTGGTATTTTGGTTCTAGGCATTGAGAAAGGAGCCAAAAGCTAACGTGAACCCACAAGGAGCTGGGTTCACAGCATGTTCTGTTACATCCCTGCTCATCTGTGGTGTCACAGACATGCCCGGGTGTGTAGGATCTCCCTGAAAGATGCAAACACCTGAGGGACAAGACCACTGCGGTTTCTCATTTCCTTTCCTATACCACTTGCTCCAAAAGCGGACCTCAGCCACAGAGAATGCTCGATGCCAAATACGGCATCTGCTTCTTCTAATGATTAAGACAGAAAGGAAACGATGCCAATCCCCATGTGTGAAAGATGCTTCACAGATTCAAAGCAAACGCACATTCATCTGATCCTCACATTAGCTAGGTGGGGGTGTTATCCCCACTTTCTAGATGAAGAAACTGATGTTTGAAGAAGTTGAACAGTTTATCTATAAGCAACATAACCAAGTCTTGTACAGTTATTTTATTCCAGATCTACTGTTCACATTCCCACACTGCCCTGGGCCAGAGCCTGCTTCACATTTAGCAGACTAAGGATTCTTTCTCTAGTGCCCTTTTGGTCAAGGTTAAATAAATATGGTTTTCTTCAATGCAGATAGGAAATTGATAATGAGATGATTTGTAACAAATGATTAAACGACCATCACTTGGGAGTCTCCTCCCTCTCCCCTTCCTGTGTTTCAAAAGCTAAAAGGCGCTGGGTGAAGATGGGAGTGGTATCACTTTCCTTCAAGAGAAAGAAGCTTCAGCCCCACACCCCTCACCATCCAGTCGTTCTGCAAACAGATGTCAGAGAGGATCCCTCTTCCTACCACCCAGTTACTCTGAAGGGATGATAACAGCCATTGGGGGGTTAAAAAGAGGCAGTGAACCCCCAGTTAATGAGTAGGAATTCAGCAGGCAGTGTAAGATAAATGGAGCTCTCTCTGCTTCTGCTAGAGTCAGCATGAACTGCGGCCCTGCGGCTTGTTTGTGGCAAATGGAGTGCGCGAAATATCAAAGGGCAGTGATCCAGAAGAAGACCGACTTTGACAAATTTTAAATTGGCCAGAAAGAAAACCAGCAAAAAAGAAAAAAAAAAAAAAAGAAAAAAAAAAAAGAGAGAAAATTATGCAATTCACTGTGTCCTGCAATTGTGGCACTGCTGCCTTTGTACAGAATTAGTGGTAAAAACAGCAGCAACGATTGCCGGATGCTGGGAGCAATTATGAGCCATCTAAGTGAGATGCTTATCAGTGGCTGAAGCTTTTAGAGCTCTCTCTCTGTACAGTTGTGAGTAACTTGCTCTTGAGCTGCAGTTACTTTAATTAAAGTGTATGGTGTTGGTCAGAAGTAATTATCCTCTTTGGAGAAGAAAGAGAAAAAACCCACAACAATTCTGGGTGGCAATAGATTTTAGAAACAAGTCTGCCAATTTCTTGTTGTATGTGTGTACTTCCCATAAAAGGATCAGGCTGTGGTGAGTTAGAGTTATTGGTGGTTGTTAGCTAATGGCAAACAATGGGACACAAATACGGTTTATTGTAACCCAAGTCACTGTGTTTGGCAGGCAACCTGGCTCAGGGCTCCAAATGCCAGGATGTGCAGGTAAACACTCAGAAGTTCTTGTGTCTTTAGATGGTGAGGATATGAAGAGTCTACAAATGGTACTTTATTAATTAAATTACTAATTGGAACATAAATGAGCTAGCATTTCTTCTTTATGCCTTTCATTCACCGTTTCACTACCTTTTAAAGACAATCTCTGTTCCTTTAGAAAAAATCAAAACAAACCAGCAAACAAAAGAACCTCAAGTAATTATCTTTACTAACATAGTAAGGGGCTCCATGGGAGACGTTGGCGGAAAATCAGTGTTTTAAAAGACTCGGAAATTCATTCAGACTCTGGACTCAACACAGGGCTCCCATGGTTCAGTCCTATGTTCACACTGCTAGTGCCTTCCAAGGGCTCCAGAAACGAACTAGCAACGGAGGATGGCTGGAAGCACCCAATGCAGAGGCTCCAAGGCAGTGGCTGCTGCAACCTCTGTTTGGAAGCACACAGTGCAGTCTCTACTTCCATTTCTCTAGCTCAGGGTGGCCCCACAACACTGCCTGGGTAGTCTCCAGCTTTTCCATCCCATGACACTGACACTCACATCCCTCAGAAATGAGGCTGGATTGTCCAAAGAGACAAGTAGAGACAGGACATCTAAGTCTAGCATATTCTCTGCCTGATTAGCCTGCCCCCAACAGCAACTTCTAGCTAATCATTCTTTACAAGGACATCCACAAGCCTAGAAAGATGGGCTATTTGAACTGTAAAGAAATATCAGAAGAAAAATCAGGTGACTTTTGCTTTTTTAGAGACCACTTTCCCTCCTATTACACACACTATTTCATTCTACTAGGTTTCTTACCATATAGAGGACAGTAAATAAAGATTATCATGAATTTGATCAAATGCTTCAGTGCCTCCTCCCCTGGCCTATGAATGCACTCATTACAAATCAGTTGAATGGCTCATTGATTTGCCAGGAGGATAAGCAGACATACCCAATCGCTCAGCCAAGTGGATGTAGACCGGGTCCACCCGACGCATGGTTTTCACCAGATCCTTTCTGCGGAATTTGATTTCTACTGTCCCTTCTGGCTCCAAAATTGAGCCCCTAGATCAGAGAGAAAGAAAACAAAATAAAAATAAAGGCACTTTAAAGGAAGGAGACTACAGAATGAGGCCAGTTACAATTTGTGGACCAGGAAATAGCTTCATTATGGTTTTGCCCACCCATGGTTCACAGAAGTAACCCCAGGGGGAGAAGCAGGCACCAGAGAAGTGTCTAAGTGAGGTATGAGAAAGGCCTGGCAAAAAGCAGTTAAAATAATTCTCATTATCACACCAGGCTACTTCCATCTCAGAGGCAGAAGAATACAGATTCCACCACCTATAGCTGACAAGGGTAACAGGAATCCATTATTTTCCAGGAAAAAAAAAATGATGATGTAGGCGCAGTGGTAGGGAACAACCTCCAGCACGTGGGCCATACAATGAGGGGTCGATGCTGGTGAGTCTGCTGGTAGGACTCGGACAGACTAGGCCAGGCCAAGCAGTAGAGAAAATGTTCTGCCTACTGCTGGAAAATGAAAGGTCTCCGCATTACTTCTAGTGCATACTAATAATGCTCTGTTACCAGGAACTTTACCCTAAACACCTTAAAAAAAAAAAAACAAAAAAACAACTCCTTTTACATTTTTTTTTTTTTTGAGGAAGACTAGCCCTAAGCCAACATCTGCCAATCCTCCTCTTCTTGCTGAGGAAGACTGGCCCTGAGCTAACATCCATGCCCATCTTCCTCTACTTTATATGTGGGACGCCTACCACAGCATGGCGTGCCAAGTGGTGCCATGTCTGCACCCGGGATCCGAACTGGTGAATCCCAGGCCACAGAAGCAGAATGTGCACACTTAACCGCTGTGCCACCAGGCCGGGCCACCTTTTACATTTAAAAAAAATTACAGCTAATGCTTACTGTGTGCATGGCACTGTTCTAAGTGCTTACATATCAATCTTCACAATAATCCTATGCCCAGTCTACATCGACTACGAGGTAAGGTACTATTACCTTCATTTTACAGATGAGGAACTAAGGTACAGGAAGTTAAGAGACATGTCTAAGTGTAACAAGCGACAGAGTTGGATTTGAAACCAGTCTTTTTTTTTTTTTAAAGATTGGCACCTGAACTAACAACTGTTGCCAATCTTTTTTTTTCTTCTGCTTTTTCTCTCCAAATCCCCCCAGTATTTAGTTGTATATTTTTTTAGTTGTGGTCCTTCTAGTTGTGGCACATGGGACGCCGCCTCAACATGGCCTGATGAGTGGTGCCATGTCCATGCTCAGGATCCGAACCCTAGGCCGCCGAAGCGGAGCGTGCAAACTTAACCACTTGGCCTCAGGGCCAGCCCCTGAAACCAGACAGTCTTGTTCCCAAGTCTGCAGAGGAACTGTCTTTGATCTGACATCAGATCGGGGCTAGGTTAGGACTTAAAAATAATAAATTCCTACATACAGAATGCTAGCCTATTGATTTGACAATAAAACTACTGGACTCTACTAAGCAGGTTTTGAAATGGGAGGCTGAGGTTTTTGGGAAAAGAGACACACAAGTGCTCTAATAAAACAACTGGATGTAGGAATTGGCATGGAAAAAGTCAAGGAAATATGGCGTGAAATTTACCTACTTTGGAAAGGTTTGAAAACAGATTACGAAAGGAAGCTGGATTAGATCTATTTACTTAAGTACTCTCGTGTACCACTTCCCAACAAAAGCCTGGGACTTTCTCTTGCAGTACTTTGGGTGCTACAAACACAGTGTCGTCCCAGTCTCCTAAAATGCCAGAGTGAGACACTGGACTCTGAGGGAGAAGCCTTGGTCTGGAACCACAGAATGCAGGTGCTGTGGTGCACCTCAGTGATCCCTCAGCTTGTTCTACAGACAAGGAGAAGCAGCCAGGGAGAGTGAGGACTGATCCAAGTTCCTCACCAGTCAGTGGCAGAGCTGGGTTAAGACCCTAGAACTCCAGACTAATGATTCAGTCCTTCCACTCTGACTAGCTTAAAGCTCCCTCTGCCACACACCTAAGAAAGAGATAGTGAACAGGCATATCTGAACAAGAGAAGGAGAGATCTCTCTGAGTTTGGGGGTGCCTGGTTTAGAGGACTTTGTGGTAAAAGAGTCCAGGGTGGGGGAACCACATTGAAAAAGCCTGACTCTAGCCTGGTTTCTTTCTCATACCAGTAGACTCTACTTAGAGAGCCTATTTTTCTGACTTTGAAGCTCTCTGGGAATGGACATATTCAAATAAAGTTCTTTTGGTTATAACATTCTCCAGGAGGAAACCAACAGCTAGAGGATCCTTAGAGGCGGTGAATGGAAATAAGGAAAGAGTGCTACCTGCTTTCTCGGTCAGCATACATCTCCATGTGCCGGGGGTTGATGGTGGGGTCAATCACCACCCAGGAGCCACCCCGAAGCTCGGCCTGGGGAGGAATGTAAACCATCACAGGCTGAGAGCACTCCCGTAAGCCATCCACGATGTAAGCACCAAACTTCAGCACTTGGTCATACATATCTATGGAGAACAAGACAAATCAGAAATCATGAAACAGGGCTTCCAAACATTGTTCACATCATGGCACACACAGAAAACAGTATTTATATGGCTCACTGTGCCTCCATGAGGAGGATGCTCATGGCCAGAGGTGACAGATCTGGGGGTTCAAGACTCCAGAAAATCTTCACAAGCATAAGAGAAGTGTACTGTCTTTCATAAGATACAGTGTGCAGGCCGTATGGATTGCATATCCATTTTATATCCTCCCTGAATTTCTGTACTCAGGTTTCACCACATTAATTCACACTTGCTCTACAGATGTTGAGTATTTTTCATGTCAATATGTGATCTCTCTCACTACATTAACTTTTCTGAAGGAAGGAACTATTTAGGCTCTTTTCAATTCTTCTCAGGATACTTAGCATGTGATAAGCTCTTAAAATGTGCAGCTAATGGAAATGGATCCTTCAAAAATTTTGTCTTCAGGGCTAGCCCAGTGGTGTAGTGGTTAAATGTGTGCACTCCACTTTAGCAGCCCAGGGTTTGTGGGTTCAGATCCCAGGCGTGGACCTACATACCACTCATCAAGCTATGCTATGGTGGCGTCCCACATATAAAATAGAGGAAGATTGGTACAGACGTTAGCTCAGTGACAATCTTTCTCAAGCAAAAAGAGGAGGATTGGCAACAGATGTTAGCTCAGGGCCAATCTTTGTCACCAAAACCAAAAAATTTATCTTCAAAAACTGCATCTTTCATCTTTGTATCCCCAGTGTCCTGTCTAGTGCCTGGAACATAGTTAGTCCTCAGTAAGCATCTGCTGAGTGAATGAATGAATAAATGAATGAGCACATAAATACTTGGGAAAGAACACAACAAGAAAGGAAAACAAATTAAGTCTTTAACAGTTGCATTTTTATTAGGGTATCAATGAGAGAAAAAAAATTTAAAATGCTTAGGTATTTATTGGAAATACCACATAGCCCATATAAAAAGAGGAACCACCTCTTTGTTCTGCTAAAGAGTATACTCTGTAATCCCTCCAAGGCCAGGAGAAACCTGAAGAAAAGGGACTCCTGATGCACAAATAAAGTGAGTCCTTGGAAAGCAGGATCAGTTATTTATTTCCCAACAATCTATGACTTCTTCCCATTTCCTAGCTCACTAAAGTCTAAATATTGCTAAAGTTTTAGGTTTATGATTCCAGAAGTTTAATGAGTATTTCAGTGGAACCACAATGGATCCTTTTTAAACACCAAATAACAGGTTCAGCTGTGTTCAAACTTTCCTATCAAAGAGAGGATCTCAATTTGGAATAAATCAATTCTGGAAATCCAAAGCAAAGAAGCATTTTTCAGTAAGTTTAAAGCAAACCAAATAGAAAATGTTTTCAGCATAGTTACTGACAAATTAAACTGCCACCTTCTCCAAAGTGAAAATGGCTCTCTATATACAAGCCATCAGTGAGCACAGTACACTGCAAGGCATGTTCCTTTCTCCCTGGCTGGTCTGTGAAGACTTCAGAAATTCCAAAAATTCATAAGTTGCTCCAGGAAAAACTCCCTATTCTATGTGGAATGTGTATGGTCATATACTCTGCATATATGATCAGAGCAAAGACATTTATTCCTTTGGGAGGAAAGCAAAGACCAAAAAAATTTACTGCTAATTACACAACTGCTGTATGAAGAGCAGGGAATAAAGGACTTTAAGCGCTTAACGCTAATTCTGTGGTTATGAAAATAATTGCTCAGTTCAAATTATTTTAACTAAATTAATTCTTTAGTGGATATTTCAACCAGTGCTACATAATAAAATAATTGTGTAATTAGCAGTACATTTTTCAGTGCTGCCAAGAGTACAGTCTCAGAAAAAGTAACAGGAAGAAGTGGCCCAATGGTATCAGGCACAGAGAAGAAATGAGAGGCACAGATAAAAGGAGAAAGTAAAACAGAAAACAGCACCAAAAAAGTCACTCTACACGAAAAAGAAAAAAGCAAGTTAGAGGTAAAGGAAGACAAAGTTTCCAACCTCTTCACTCACTTCTGCTTATTAAAGGCATATCTACATCAAAATCTGCCTCTGTACCATGATTAACAGACCCAGCTTCCAAAAAGAATGGGACTTTATTTAAAACGTACTCTCATTTATTTAATTCAAAAAACTTAATTTCATAGTACATGTAAATAGTGTGTTTGGCATAAAGTTGAGTATGTGTACATTTTATTTTTGTGGAATGGACTTTGGTCCCTCTTTTTCATCATCATGGCCAGCTTACTGCGTACCAGGGAGTGTGATTACATATACACACATACAAGCCATTTAATCATCAGAAAAAGCATCTTCTTCTTATATTGAAGGTGCAGATGTGTGAACTGAGGCTTAGTTAAATAAGTGAGTAAGTGGCAGAGATAAGACTTGAATACAGATCTTTCTGGCTCTAAAGTCCACATTCTACTACCTCATTCTTTTCTTTTTTTCTTTTTTTTGAGGAAAATTAGCCCTGAGATAACTACTGCCAATCCTCCTCTTTTTGCTGAGGAAGACTGGTCCTGAGCTAACATCCGTGCCCATCTTCCTCTGCTTTATACGTGGGACACCTACCACAGCATGGCTTTTGCCAAGCGGTGCTGTGTCCGCAACCGGGATCTGAACCAGCGGACCCTGGGCCGCCAAGAAGCAGAACGTGCGAACTTAACCACTGCGCCACCGGGCCAGGCCCAACTACCTCATTCTTACCTCATCATTCTTATCGCTGGGAAAGAGCATGAGGCTGGGGCAACCTTTCCAGCATCTGATACAATGACTGAGTAAAATAAAAACCAAAAAAGAGATTTGAATAAATGAATATTTCTAAATTTTGCCCGTTTTTTTGGGATGTTCCGAAATGTCAGAAAGGGTACTGATGACAATACCAGCTATGTGAAGGGCTTGGAGCTAACTGCCACACAATTACCTTCAGGCCCCAAGACTGTGAGTAGAAAAGTGGCATCAAGTTTCATTAAAGCTGACAAGCTTAGGACTGAAAACAATGCTTCCATCTAACCTGGAACACCAAGAGACCACAACCCATTCACCAAAACACCCAAAAAGCAACAAAGGCTATTCAAATATAAACAAACACATCTACAGACAAACTCCACAAATGACATTATTCTGAACCACAGCTGCCCTAAACCACCATTTTGAAAGGCACTTGGCAACAATCTGAAATACTTTTGTCTGAAATCCCTTCACAGTTAAGAAACAGAGCAAAAGCACAGCCAAGAGTAGCAGGGGAGGGGCCTCCCAGGGTTTAGGCCAGCAATCAGTCTAGTGAATTTTTGAGCTATGTATATGCTGACTGTCAATTCTCCAGCCCCGAGAAATGAAGCTGGGAATGGAAAATACTGATAGGTTCTTCACTGAAGAGGCGGGAGCTTGGAGCTTGCTGAGTATTCTGGGCAAAGTACATCTGCCTGAACGGTGATCACACAGTGTGTTCTCAGCACCCAGGCACCACCCCTGCCCAGGGCCTTCACTGTTACACAACATGGATAAAGCGTGGCATCCACATGTACCAAACAAGGGAGCAGGGTGGCAGGGTCTTTCCACAGTGCCCCATCTAGAAACTAGAAGGATCTTATTGGCTTGAGGCGAGATTATGTGTGAGAAGCTGAAGGTAAACATTAGGCATACACACACCGCATACACATAATGTTTCTTGTGAGTTCATTATGGCCAGCTGACATTGTATTTCTACATCCAAGTAATCAGAGAGTTTAAAATAGACTTTCATTCCAGTTAAAGTTTTCAATAAATGTTTTTTTATTGTTATTTATAACCTGTCCCAGGAAAAAATAATAAGTATAACATGAAAAGCCAACTGAGAGTGACCCTGTAGCACTAGCAGTGAGGCAGCTTAATATCACTGGGATTTGCATCCTATCAAGCTATTCATGCTGAGGCTGGGACCCTGGTGCTAATTTCTAGTAAATTTCACGCTTGATGTCTCCCTGTTGTGGGTCATTGCCGGTTCGTCTAAATAAACTGCTTCCAAATGGCTCTTCCATCTAAATATTCAGCCAGTTTTTATAATTTAATTTTGCATTATGCTGAATAGCCTTCCGGCCAGATAGAACTCATTGGAAAAAAAGCACCAATACCATCTTGACATGCTTTTATTTATTTATTTATATTTTTACTGCTCGAATTAGACCTCCTAGGCCGACTAGTAAAGAGTTTTTTTTTCCCTCCACTAATGTCAATTTTCAGCATAGCAAGAGCTGTCTCTAATCTTTTCCTACTCATTACACACAATTTTGGAGTCATTTTACCCACAGTGCAGTCGGCTCCTGGCTGTGTGTTTGTGTGCACTGAGGGATGGCATAATTGTTTATTTTCCCTCCCTGCATAATCCCCAGCCAGTATTGAAACCAAAACTGCAAACATCTCCCCAAGGGATATGGAATGACTCTCAGCTTAGGTCCCTTTACATGAGATAATATGTAGGAAACATCCTGACCTGTATGTAAATATGAAAGGCAGATGTTCTTTCCCTTCCTACTTTCACACTGATCTCTATCTTCCCCAAAGCTTATTTGTCTTAAGTGATGTATAAATGGATGTAGCAGCACCAAAATTCAGAAGACAAGGCTGGCCCTGGTCTGTATCAAGCCAATAACTCATTTTTGACCAGGGGCATGGGGGAGGGGAAAATGGGGAGTTACTGTTTAACGGGTACTTTACATCAGGGATGACGGAAAAGTTTTGGGTATATATGGTGGTGATGGTTCCACAACACTGTGAACACATTTAATGCTGCTGAATTATACACTTACAAATGGTTAAAATGATAAATATTATGTTATGCATATTTTGCCACAATAAAAAAACATAACATTTCTGAGCTCTTGAAGTTTCTTCTCACAATAACCAAGGACAACCCCAAAGCAGAGGAGAGGTAGATGGATAATAACTTTCTCAGGAACCTAGATATTCTATTCTAGGGATGTTCTGGTAAATCTAGTTCTGGTCCTAGGCTCTAAAATCAGCCAACTGTGCAACAGGAAGTCAGACAGATCTGTGTTCCTATCCTAACTCTGTCATTTTTTAGCAAAATCATCTTGAGAAATTTACTTAACCTAAACCTTAATTTATATAAATTGCAGATAATAATATAACCTACCCCTTAGAGGTGCTTGTTGTGATGATTATGTAAGGTAATGCATGCAAAACGCTTAGCACAGTTTCTAGTGAAAAGAGCTCAATGAATCTTATTGTAGTTCTTATTGTTGCAGGGCTGGCAGCCAATCTGGGCCTGAGCCAAAATATGTAGCAGAATTGAAGCTTTTCCTACAAGTGGCACATGGCTAACTTTTCAACTCTGAACTTATTAGGACAAAATAGCCAGGCTGACTTACTCCTAAGTAACGTCAGCAAGAGTACATACTCACTGGCCCCTTAGAAGAGAGGTAAGTAAGGAGTAATACTATTGAATTCTCTCCTAAACCTTAATATAAATCTGATAGCCAAGGAATTTGGGATCAAGTGAAATCTGATGCTAAATGAACCTCAGATATATACATGAAAGGGGTTTCAGGCCCCTCCTCCAAAAAAACCCTTCAATATAGTATCATCCTCTTTTGAACACTTGGTGTTTTGTTTATACATTACAGATTTATCATTCTGCCCAAGACATTTTTCTTGACTCCTTGAGGCAATATCTGTTTCTGACTTATTATTGTTTTCTCTCAAGTAGCTGGTATAGTTCCTTGAACATAAAAACTCAATAAAAATGTGTAGGATTGACTTGCTTGACCTATACTCTCAATATTTCATGGTATTTCCACTGATTTATCATCTTGGTCAAAAAATAATTCACCTTGATAGCCTAAGATAAAGTACAGAAACATTAATTTGCATGTATAGTCCAAATCTGCCCCAAGAAAAGTGTAAAATGTAGTAGTTTCCAGCAAAATGAGCAAAGGGGAACTTTTCAACTAAAAAAAAAAAATCATCCTAGTTGTGTACATTTTGCCAGGGAGGCCTGGCAATACAGGGCTTTTCCTTGCCAGGAAAGGGAAAGTTCTTGGCATAATGCTCTCTCTACACATGACTGCTGATCTATAAAAAGGTAACTTACTCAGGCTTTTCCTCCCTCCAAGCTAGAGATGCTCCTGCCCAAGGTATTTCTGGGTGCCCTATTGAGAGTTCATTCTTTCACATTTTATATGCCCTTATTTCTGATCACACTATTCACTTCAACAGTAGCAACTCCTCCTTCCTTCCATTCCCCTAACCCATGCTATTCCTTTGGAGCCCTCAGGCCTCCCCTGATGAAGGAAGTAGACACTCATCAGCAAACTCGTCCCCTCCTGAAATACACTCTCTGGCCTCAGCATGGCCATGAATCTCTAGCCACTGGAGAGAGTGCTTCACTACTGAAAGAGGTTATTGAGTGTGTTTCCTTTGGCTTTCCTGAACTGTCCACAGTGGCTTTGCACATAGAGGACTCTTAGTAAATGGTGATACTGGCTGCCTAATCACTAAGCAATGCCCATAGCACAGAGCAGAGCTTTTATAATAATGTTCTAATATGCTGGAGCCACAGGCCCAGGGCTGTTGCTGGATAACAACAAAACATATCACAAATTGCCACAAAGAACAGCCTCTGGTACAGAATTCGTTTGTTTTCTTCTGGTGAAGGCTAATTTCAAGATCTATCTTGGTCATCATGGAGCATTAAAGAGTAACATCAACAAAGAGTATGGCCAGAAAAAAGGGACATAGACTAGCACAATCATGTTTCCCTAGACCATCAGAAGAGTCCATCACTTACCTGTGAAAGCTAAATCCACAACAGCAGCCCACCTAGGTAATACTAGTAGAGTGTTGTGGAATTTTGTAGGGAATTGTAAAACGTATTGAATTTTCCCATTCAATTGCAACTCAGAAGATATCTCAGAGGGAGCATAATCCCCAAAAAGCCTAGGGTGATGGGCTGTCAGGACAACCACAGGCTCTGCCCAGTATAAACCGTCCCTCTCCCCACTGCAGGGTTCTGGAGAATCAGTCATGTCCCTCCGGCCCACAGCTAAGTCAATCACCTTTCATTCCACCAGAGAAGCCTCTCCAGTTGGCAAAGACCATCAGAGGCAGCCCTTCACGGTTGAAGTCCTTGATAGCCTGATAGGTCTTAAAGGCAGAGTCTGGGAACCAAACCTGGCCAGCTTGTTGGATGATCTATTGGGAAAAGTCAGAGAGAAAGAGAAGATTAACAACATGGTCTGAGGGGGAATCTCTCTGAGGTGAACAAGGTTTTACTGATTAAAAACTCAAAATCAAACCAAACAAACAAAATCTGTTGTTCATCAAGAAATCATCCTTGAAGTAAAAAAGAAAGGATCCTAGATCTTTGACTTTGTTAAATACTCCTCTTTTTAAGTCCTGATTACACCACTACTCTTTAGTTAAAAGGGGGAAACCTTACTGCTTCTAATGGAAAATGCAGTGTTAGGAATCCTTGTTCTAGGCTACCCGAAGGCACCTTTAAGTGACTCAACTACACAACTCTTCAAAGGAAGCCAATTGTAGATAGCCTCCAAGTCCTGTCACCCCTGTGCTTAGTACATCTTTTCTTGTACTGTGGCTAAGGAAAAGACACTTCATGTCACCCTACTGAATACCTCCACCCCAGCATTCCAGACCCCGCATTTTCTGGATGTTGTCAGGATGTGAAAACATAATCATCTTTCTTAAAAAAGACGGGTTGTGGTGTTCACAATTGGCGTTAGGGCAGACTTCATTATTAATTCCAGTAGTAGCTCTTCTATGTGTGTGCTCAGAAAATCTGGGACCAAAGAGTCCTCAGCATTGTCTCAGATGCCTTTCTATAAGACCACATCCCCAAGAAAAGCAGATTCTTGGGCCGGTGCCGTGGCTGAGTAAGTTTGCGTGCTCTGCTTTGGTGGCCCAGGGTTTTGCTGGTTCGGATCCTGGGCGTGGACATGGCACTGCTCGTCAGGCCACGCTGAGGCGGCATCCCACATGCCACAACTAGAAGGACCCACAACTAAAATACACAACTATGTACTGGGGGGATTTGGGGAGAAAAAGCAGGAAAAAAAAAAAAGAAGATCGGCAACAGTTGTTAGCTCAGGTGCCATTCTTTAAAAAATCAAAGAAAAGCAGATTCTTTTCTAGCATCAACAAGACCACTGAAAATAGCCTATTTAATTTGTTAGGCAGAATTTAACTCACAGTCCATTTAGAGTCATCTTAAAAGTGAGCACATGATGGTCTGAAATCATTCAAGGCTGCTAGACTGCCCTTCCTTCCAAAGTCGGTGATTTGGGCCAGCCCGGGGGCATAGTGGTTAAGTTTGTGTGCTCTCCTTAGGCAGCCTGTGGTTCGTGGGTTCAGATCCCAGGCACGGACCTACTCCACTCATCAAAGCCATGCTGTGGTGGCATCCCACATACAAAATACAGGAAGACTGGCACGGACATTAGCTCAGTGACAATCTTCGTCACATAGATAGATAGATAGATAGATAGATAGATAGATAAAGTCAGTGGTTTGCAATGCTCCCAATAAATCTCCAGGCTCCACAGAAGGGAAACAGAACTCCAAGCACAGGTGCACAGGGGACTTGAGGTGACCTACCTTGGCTTCAGAATCCAGGTTTGCAGGATCAGCTGGGATACTTAGTTCCACTGTTCGGGTTTCCACGGCAACTACTCCCACAGGTATTCCTCCTAGCCTGATAAAAAATGAGCCACATAAGAACTCAATGTATAATGTCAACATTACAGCTAGTCATTTATTTTCCAATCCCATATCAAAACATTGGGGGGAAAAAACTGGAAACAAATACAGAGAGCAGGGGGAAATCTGATTCTTCTAGGGATAAAATGTGAGACTCTACAGATTTGGTAAATTTGGTACATTTTTGTAAATATGGTGGGAAATTGCCCTCAAAATCACTCCTATTCCCCACCACAGGATAAATTCAAACCAAGGGTTGTACTAGGGGAGCCTCTGCATTTGTGCATTCTGCATTGTGCAATAGCCTGGCATGTGTGCATGCACACATACACACACACCCATCTTTGTGGTTGCCAAATTAAATTTCTCAGTTCACCCTAGAATATCTCTTTGGTGAAGACGGAGGGAAATGGTCTGAAAGGCAGGAGGAACCTGAAACTTTCAGTAACTGTTTTAATGAATGCTGGCATTGCTGGACCAGAACTGCAGTTTTCTATGGAGTACTAATAACGTGGTTCCAGATAAGATCTGAGGGTACAGTAGGTCTTATCACTGGGCATGTGGATGGGGAGTGTGTAGGTGTATTATGGAGATGATGAAAAACGTGCCAAGTATAGGGAGGTGGTTAAACAAGCCCTTAACTTTCTCTGTCACTGGAAAAGAGCAATGGGACAGGGATAACTTTCAGTAGTAATCTTGGCAGAGTAGGTGATCTATATTCGGAGTATATATTTAATCTCCAAGCTACATTAATTTAAAAAACTGTTGGATCTCAAAGCCTCCGCATCCATACTCCATGATACCTTCCCAACTTGGTCCTCATAAAGATTTCCTCGTGAAAATCAGGGGGAGAGAGAGAGAGAGCGTGACCGCATGCTATAAGGTATAGGTTAAGTTCTTCCTCTGGAAAATGTGATTCAATCTTCACTTTCTCAGCTGCATTCCTTGGGGTTGGGGCTACGATGGGATATAGTCTCTCATTCCCCACAGCATCTCCATAACAAACTTTTCCATGAAGGATGATCTTTGGTTGTTACATTGGTTACTGGAAATGGATTCTTGTCATCACCAGAGGCCTAACAGGGGCCTGACTGGGGACCACCCAGCCCCTTGTCACTTGCTTGCACTGAATCAGAATCAAAAGCCCTCTAGACAACCAGACAACGAGCAGGAGGTACACAGGAGGGTTTAGAAATATTTCTGTTCACAATGATTAACAATCCAACTGGAAACTTGTAATTGCAAAAGCCACCCTAAATAGGTAACTTATAACTTATATATTAGGGCCCATGTGACCTAATAAAGAACATCTTTATCCGAGTATTACAGTTATTTATTGAACTTGAAAACAGCTCAGAACAACTTCTGTTTTCTATTATACTTCATATAAATTTTATCAGGCTAGCACATGAAGATGCTACATCTTGTTTTATAGTGTGTCCCTGGACAAGGTGCCATGGAATAATAAAAGACAATTTACAGCCAATAGCACACATATTCCAAACATACATACCAAAGATGAGTTTTGGCAGCACTTACAGTAACAATCCCAGAAGAATACATTTATATTTATTTCTTGAAATGTCATTGCTTTTGAAAGAAGCTAGCTCCATTTGTGTTTTATATACTTGCAAGCATGTGTATGTGTTTGGAGTAAGAAGCCCAGAACTCATCAGATAGAAAGAAAGGAAGAAGTCAGAGTGAGTGTTGCAATAAACAATGGCAGAGCTAACCAAAGCCAAGCTTGACTGATCTTTCTCACAGACAATCCCTATCCTTCCAATCATAAGTGTAAAGCATTATTCTCTTGTTCCCATGGGAGCATCTTAAAGACCTTAACAAAGGTTTGGCTTTCTCAGGCTTAAAATCTGTCGTGTTTTTTACAGACAGGAAAACTGAAGCAGAATAGATAAGAGACAAATTTTCAAAAAAGTTGGTCTGAGTGTGATGTGAGGACTCTGTTTAATAAACCTATACATCCTGGGTAAGAGGTTCTCTCTCTGGTGCATTCCCCTCCTCCACTTCCCCAGTGGGAATTTTACCAGGCACAAAGAATAATTCTCACTGGGACCCAGAAGCCACTGGTGAGGTAGAAAATCTGAGATGAGAGAAAATGGGAGCTAGTCCCTCTGACTTTCAGTCTGGGCTGACTCCAGGGCTGACTTATTAAGAATCACAGCGGAAGATCCAGTCTGTGGGATCTGCCATCTGATGGCTCCTTGTCACTGGCAGCATGAGGCATGCTGACCTGATGTACTGAGAGAACCACAAAGCCTAGAATTATTTTCAAGGCTAGAATCTAAATCTCAACCCAATGTGGCATGTTTGAGAATCTTGAGCAGGTGCCACTTTTCACCAAGATAAGGAAAACTGATTGCCCTCGAGAGGAAGGTGAGCTCCAGATGTGGGTCCCTAGGGCAGCATGTCTCTGCAGTACAGAACGAGATTAAGATCAGCCTTGGCAGGTGCTCGTTATAGTAAGCGCTACAGATTATTTCGTGCAGGGCTTGCTGTTGAGTGAAGCACTTCTTAGAGTGGGTATTAAAATTTAATAGAAACTTCAATTTCCCATTTGAAAAACATAAGTATCCCAGCAACCTATCTCAGCTTATTTTACTCACTCCTCTTTAAGGTAAACTTTTTTTTGGAATTTAAATCTGATGATGAGCTAATAAAGTACATTTGTTACTTAAATAATCTCGATGTCATGAAGAAACTTCTTTCAGGTTACACAGATCTCTCAAGTTACATAGAGAAGTCGATGAGTTTGATTCACCGTCACTTACTCCTGAAAGAAGCTGGTCTTTGGGGGAGACGGGAGTGATTGGTGGGCTATGGCTATTGTAGCTGGGCTTTGCAGCCCCCAAAGAGCTTTTCTTTCAGCATTATAAAAAGGAAATGTTGTCAAAACCAGACTTCAGATTAAACGCATCATTGGAGTAACACACTAAACGACTATTGGGAACCAGTGCTCCAGTTATGCTGCCTTGGGCGTAACTATAATCCAATATTCTTAGAAAGTTTAGACAAAGAGTATTATTGGCAAAAATCTATATAGCCATGGCCCTTTCCTTTCTTGTTTGCAGTTGGGAGGAAAAAGAGCTTCCAAAACAAAAGAGCTCTTACCTGGCTCTGCCAACCACTACGGTCTGTGCCCAGGGTTGCATGATCTCTGAGAAAGATCCATAGTCAAAAAATCCACTCAACCACTGACCTTTCTGGGCTATGGAAGGGAAAGAAAGGAAACAAAGAGCGAATAAGACAATCAATCCATTGAAAATACACTGGAATTGGCAAATTTCAGGTTAGATGTTGGAGATTATTTCGGGGAGTTTGTTGTTTTTATCCATATTATAATAGACGGAAGCATTAGGCAGCTGAATGTTTATTTGCCTTCAGACATCATCTCCTATTTCATTTGCTAGTCTGCATAAAAAGAATCATTTATCAGCAAAAGCATCATTTATTGTTAAACGGTGGGGTTCAGCTAGCAGAGAGAGTTTGCATGCTTTTAAATAAATAACTTGGCTTTTTTCAAAACACGGCAAACATTTGTCAAAAGGCAGCCAAGTCATTAAAGATGTTTTCAAAATGTCTACTTCTATTTTAAAACTTAGTTTACAATTTTTTTTGATTCCACTGATTTTCTTTTAGTGGAAAGCTGAAGACAGCCAAATGCTAAGTATTAATGATCAGATGAGGACCCAAATTTGGGGAAAAGGAAAGGGACTCAGCTTCTCTGCTAGAAAAGCAACAAGATACATCCACTTCATTTACAACTGACAAAGTATAATCTTTCTATTAGAAAGGGCCATGCCCATATACTTTTGACAGTGAAATGTAACGCTTAAGATGCAACAGAGGTCATTAACCTCCCTTGCACACAGAATTTCCTTTACTGGCAAGACACGTAACTTTCAACATTTTAGTTTAAGAAAAGAACTTTCGTTCCACAGGTATCCATGTTTGACCAAGGCCCCATAAAAGCTTCTGCAAATAACTGTTTCCTAGCTTGCCCTCTCAGTTCATGGTTTCTCAGTGATTCTTCTAATTTGAACATGGCCCTCCGCCCCCTAAAAACCCAAGTCCAAAACCAATTAAAAGTGGAGATCCAAGCAAGCTAACCTCTGCTGACTTAAACAGGATAGAGAGTGTTTTATCAAGACTAAATTTGTAATTACTGTGTTCTACATTCCTTGCCTCTATGGCCCCAGTGTAAAATGTGATCATCCATTTCAAAATTATCTCTCTATCGTGAGCTGAAAGCCGATCGTTTAGATTCTGGTCTCGTGTTGGGCGTCAGTTTGAAGAATATCACAGCACTATCTTCTCTAATAAATGACTTTAACTTTTCACCTAGAAGATATCTGCTTTTACTTATCACAGGGAATCATCTGCTTTCTTTAACGCTTCCACTAAATTAAAATCTGAAGTCACTCGATTTGGGAGCGAGTATTAGCTGCACATAGACAGCAGGATGAATTACTAGGGAGTCAATGAAAAAATATTATCCAAAAACAGAAAACTTAGTTTATCACAAATTTCATTTTATTCTGTGGATCTCATTAATAATGGCCAGGATAATGTTCACCTGCACACACACACACACACACACACATACATCTGTTCACCCCATGAAAGAGGGCTCAAATTTTGATGAAGCTTCTAAACCAAACTTCTAAGTGCATCAGAATACTGAAATTTTAACTTTATATGCTTGGATCATTTTATGATTCCTACTTCAATGACAATGATTTGGAACTACAGAATTCATTTCAAAGTGAAAATATTTTTTTCTTTAAAAACCCTCCTCCCTTATATGTTGATGAGGGGAGGGGAGTCAGGTGGGCTATCACTACTGTAAGCTGGGCTTTACCACCCCCTTGAAAGAGCAGGTCATGTTCAGTTCAGGTGCAGAGCTTAGAAGCCAGCTAAGATGGCTCCCCATAATACCCAGGAGAATGCTCACTGAGTCTTGTTCTGATTTTTCCCAGAAAAGCCCTGGATTTTAAGGCTGATAGGTATCTTAGATTCATAGTTCTTATCATAATCATGGTATAAAAGTGAGAGGTAAGGAGAAGATTACTATGGAGATTTTTCTAAAGAGTTTTAAGAAAAATGATTTAGTCTTATTAAGATTAACAAGCGAAGACATTGAAGACAACAGGTAAAATTTTAAATTAAAATCAACTTTCCTCTGGTGATTTTTATACACTATTTACAGTTAGGCTTCAGATTAACCCCCAACTCCTAAGTAACAGCTGTGTAACCTTGCACAAAACACAACTTCTCTGAGCTTGCAAAATGTTGATCTCCTTTTATCTCTGAGAAATACTAAGCCCAAATAAGATAATGTACATGGAAGTGCTTTACAGGCCCACTTGGCTTAGAGCGGGTACCCACAAAGGGTTATTAAGTCTTCCTTATGAAGACCTCTTTCTCTTTCAACAAAAATCACAGTGACTCGAACTTTAATAAATTATCTTCTGCATTCCACCCTTCTTTTAGATACAGCCTCTCTTTGAAATAGTTGCAATAAACATGCAAAAAAGAACAAGCACTTTCTCAAACAATCTGAAAAAATAGATTCAATATGTAGCAGCGGGATTTGGGGCTTCACAAAAGAACCTGATACGTAAGGTTTGTTAAAAGAGCCAAATGGCCTGACAAACGAGAATGTTCATTTGTCTTACATGGAGTTATCTAATTTTTTTCTTTTTTTTTTTTTTTCTGTCTTTGTTTTTTAAAGATAGATAAAATCAGCCCCAAGACAGAGGGATATATTAGATAAACATGGAGGGAGGGCTTGTTCTCACTCTATGTGTTTATAAAATTAAAAGTTCTGGGCAATCTCTTCATGAATAAATAATCTTACAAAGTAACCTTACATTAATAACTAAAGCAGGTACCAATACTATTACCAACATCATAAGAAAAGAAGGACACACGCAGGCTGGGTGCTCAGCAATAGCTCGCTGAGAAGAGTGTAGTCACATTCTACACTGAAGGGTCTCAAAGACCTTTTCTAAAACTGATCTGACTAATCTCTGTTGATAGAGACTAGATGATGGAAGATTCTGGTCCTCTAATTCTATGGCTTTATGGCTTATATTTAACTGTTTTAAAGTCCCTGAACCCACTGAGTAATAAGTGCTTTAATAACAGAAGAAACAGAAGAAATGCATAGTGACTGTACTGCTTATGACTCAATGGCTGATTTATAAATCTCACTTCACTTATTTTTCATTTGTTCTTGAAAGATTGTCCACCTTTTTCTTTGGAGAGCTGTTTTTCAGATTTTTCTCATTTCCAGGTACTTTAGTAGCTCTGTTTTCTTTGTCACATGCTATTGTGCAGGAATTGGTTAGTGATTGAAAGGAAGACTGAAAGTTTGAGGGCCAGAGACCCACAGAAACACATACGTACTTGGGTGAGGACGGCCTGCTAGCATCCATCGAGGATCATATGGGGCCTTTGTGGGAACAAACTCGATGATTCTGTCTATAGGATCCTTGGAGTTCAGGAGAGGAACTGAACTGTGCACACTCTAAAAGGAGATTGGGAGGGAAAGAGCACAGCTATCAGTGAACAACAGCCCTATACTCCAACTCAGCAACAAGTGTTACAAAGACAGCAGGGTCCACGTAAGGAATTACACCCATTAGTCCCAATCATCAGCTAGATGCATCCCAATTGCATGCCAAGCCCTGAGGAACATGCATGTCTCAAGTCTCACATAGGAGCCTGGCATAAAGTGGCACGTTCTGACTCGATTTCAGTGTGCCCAGGCTTTCTGGGAAGCTCCCCAGAAAGATGGAAGGCTATTACAAAGGAGAAAACCCACAATGAGGGGAGGCCTTAATATGCTGAGGTCTGAGCCCAGACAGGCCATGAAGGCCTCTGTGGCTGGAAAACATCAGAAAGGGCCTAACCAATGAAATCCAAAAGCATTTTAAAAGGTAAAAGATGGCTTTAAGAAAAAGGGAAATCAGCAGCTTTCAGAGGAATGTTTCGAAAAAAAAATTCCTCCCCATAAAGAGACCTCAAATACAGAGGAAGTGAGTTGTGGGGGAAAGGCGTGGTTCTGTGGGCTCTGTCAGTGCTGGGTAGGAAGGGCTCACCTTAGGCATGTAAGACAGCCAGTGCAGGACAGTGAAAACCCCTTCAAAGTCATCACAAACTTTGCTGTGGGTCACTCCATTGTTGTGCATGATCTGGATGCCTCCGAGCTGGTTATTGGAGGTATATACTTCCCGCCCAAGGACCTAGAGAAACAAGCAAGAAAAAAGACATTTGTCTTGACAGAAATAAAGGTAAAGTCTATTTTCTAATTCTCACTAAGATGGGTTCTTTTCTCCACAAGACAGTGATTCCAGCTTCCGTAGGTTGTTCTGAGGTGCTATCTGGACCTTCATCCTAAAAAGAAAACTTAGAAAACAAAAAAGGCTTTTAACAATTTGCAGTTTAAAAACCAGCAAGCCTCTCTCTTTCTCTACTAGCTGCCATAGATATGCGTGGGCTGCTTTGACTCTGAGCTGAAACCACAGTAGTGAGTGAGGCTGGGACCCTGAGACACAGGCAACCTCATCATCTGCAGGCCTGGCAGAGTTGCTGTGCATATACACAAAAGAGGTAACATGCTTGTCTTTTGATCATCTTTGGTGACAGGTCTCAGTTAAAGAAACCTGTGAAGTTTGGGTTCCTTGTTTTTTTTAAAGGATTACTTTTTCCCTTACATTTGGTTTTCAAAGCTGGTCCCTGCGTACAAACCCTAAGGCTGGCAAAATTCTGAAGCAACTCATGGTACATACACGAACCCTTGAGTCTAAAGTCCTCTTTGTGTGCTGAGCGCAGGGCAGTGATTTATACACAAGCCCACCTCTCCTCCATCCTTCCCTCACAAGGTTCCAGGGAATTCAGGGCCTCAATCCCTGGTGTACTGCTACAAGAGTTTAACCCTTGTGAGGTTGAAGGCATCTGCAATTGGAAACCACAAAGTTTCCTTTAAAGAAGAAAAAAGGAGAAGAAAATATTCTTGGACTTGGAGATTGTAGGGTTTCTTTTTCCTTTGAAGATTGGTTAATAATTTCGTTCAGGGAGGGAGGTTTTCTGACCCAGCAGATGGAAGCTGGGCAGCCTGATCACTGACTATTGCAAACTGCTGAGTGTGTAGTAATTGCCAGTCATCTAGGGTAGCCCTGGAGAGCTCTAAACAGTTGTAGAGCGCTTACTGTATTCTACCTTTTCTTTTCCATCCTCCCTCCTCCTTTAGAAAATAACTACAACACAAAGTTTCTTCCTTACTAACTTTTATTCACTTCCAGCCTCTGGGGAGAACCTAATAAATGAAAGACCAGCAAATTCTACCTGTATCATTCCCATTTTGCCCCTTCTTGTTAGGAGCTTTGAGAGGTTCCCCTGCCTGCTGGGTCAGCCCCTGCATCAAGACCTTCCAAAGGCTGCAGAAGTTAGTGACCAAAGTAATCACCTCAGTGTGACCTAGCTGGACTTGGTTCCATTTAACTTCAGCTAGCAAGGGCGGAAGAGACTCTTCTGAAAGGAATATGGAAAGCAAAATTGCTCTCGGATTACTGCTTTCCTTGATAAGGAAGTGCAGAGAACAGGTCTTTACAGGCAGCCCCGAGCTGAGCAACATGCCGGCAGATCCTTTGAAGGAGCCCCAGGAACAGGGGAGACCCTATCTGACCACTGGGCTCCCATCCTCCTCTCAGTCTGTCTTTAATCTCAGCCCAGGCACTGCGGCTCTTTTCTCATTCTCCTGCTGTCTCTTTCCATTTGCCCTCTCTCTGACTGATACACTGATCTCTCGGTCACTCGGCTTTCTGCTCCACTGAGTCCATATTACTAATAACACCTCCGCCACGGCCAGTTTACCTCATGAAGGCAGGAGCACATCATTACAAAATAAACTCATAACTTTGACATTCTAGCAAATACACGCCGTTTGTTATTTTTATGGCTTTAGTCTTTCTAACAGGCAGAGGGCATTACATACCTGTTTCATTTATATCTTTAAATGTGTGCACACATGCACACTCACACATGCATCAGCAAACAAAACAGAACAAAAAACCAAACCAAAACAAATATCCAAAGCAGTCAATTGATGGGGGACCGTGGCGGAGACAGAAACCCTGTCACTCAGGGAGGCCACGCTCTGATCTGGCTCTGGTTTTATGGATGTCATAAACCCGATGGCCCACATCTGGTCCTTCTGGGACAGACTGCCTCTGTGCCAGAAGCCATTCAGTGTGATCAGCAATATTTTTAATTATTAAAATAAAATTGGAAAGGGGGAAAAGAAATAAAAAGGAGACATTGCACTGACCCTGAATATCTGATATTCATAATCTATGCCAGGAGCCAAGAACTCCTTCCTGCCTAGGAGAGAGAGCTGGGGCCATTTTCTACTCAGAAACACTATTTTCTTTCCTATGAAACATTGTCTCTAGTACTTGATAATGTCCAATCACTTAGAATCTCACACCTCTCCAAAACCAGAAATAGACCAGTGAAGGACTAATCTTGGAAAAAAAGACCAAAGCCAACCAAGCGCTGCTCAGCTGTTCAAATACACCTTCCTCAGATGTCTTTGCCCCCTCATTTTAAAGAGGAAGACAGCATCCAGGCCCGGCTACTCCCAGAGGCTCTGTACTTGCCCATTCCACCCCATAATCTTACAAACTAATGGGAGACAAACCTGGAAGCAGTAAGAGTGTAATACCTTAGCACGTCTTCCCTTTACAAGCAGAAACTCAGGTTCTGATGCTTTGGCATTCTTCTGAAAAGGCAGCTGTATTTCTACATTTCTTCTCTTCTGAGTTCAGAAAGAAATCTAACCAGGGCTTACCACAACCAAGAACAATATTTCTGGGCTAAACAAATGTTTGTCACGTGAGAAGATTCATTTAATTTGGAAATTAAAGAGAAAAATTAAGGGCCGGCCCTGTGGCGCAGAGGTTAAGTGCGCACGTTCCGCTTTGGTGGCCTGGGGCTTGCAGGTTCGGATCCCGGGTGCGGACATGGCACCGCTTGGCAAGCCATGCTGTGGTAGGTGTCCCATATATAAAGTAGAGGAAGATGAGCACGGATGTTAGCTCAGGGCCAGACTTCCTGAGAAAAAAAGAGGAGGACTGGCAGCAGTTAGCTCAGAGCTAATCTTCCTCTAAACAAACAAACAAATAAATAAATAAATAAAATAAAGAGAAAAATTATAGGAGAGACTGAGTATCTAAATGGCTCTCTCTGACCAGCCTTATATTAGGAGGTGGGGGATGGGGGGGAAGGACACACAGATATGAAACCTGCTTCACTAACCACAAACAAATGCTAACAATCATAGCTACTTAACAATTGGTGAAGAGAAAGCAGTACCCTCTAGTTCATCTTCAATGACCGTATGTCTGGAGCATGAACCAGTAGAATGAGGGCGCACACAATAGCTCCTGATTTATAGGGGTCCTTGCTGACTCAAGTGGTTTTAATGATTTTAGAATACTTCACAATAAAAGCTCCAACCAAAGAAGGAGAATCTGAGCTAGGACAAAATCCATTCTGCCTAACTCTAAAATGATCATGCTGGAACAGTTATGCAAACCCTGATCAGCATCTAGGAAGGCAACGAAAAGAGCCCACATAATTAGCCCACTGTTTTATTCTTCAATATGTTGCCCTACCAACCTCCTACAGAAAAATTTGGGGTAAAGAACCCTCATCAGCATAATGTTTTCATGAAATAGGTGAGCTTCATTCATCAGTTTTTTCAACTTTGACATATGCATTTCTACAGAAGTCAAGTTGCCTGCCATGTTCCATTTCCCAAAATATTCCTCTCACATTTTCTATGGCATGATACAAACCTAATTTATCTGCCCAACAAGCATCAATAGCGATTTAAACACAGGAGCCATTTAAACAGAGGTGACTCTCCTGAGGCCCCACTTTGTTGCCCCCCCCAGGTCTAATTGGAGAAGCAGTACATGAAATATTAGGCACAGGCATCATCTGAGGGTCCCCTGCTGAAGAGTGCCCACACCAAGAGAACTGAATAAGGGCTGAGTCTGAGAGGGAACAGGATCTTCATCCACTCTCAATATAAACTTAAGCCTCATTCAGCACTTCATTCATTGCAGCTGGCAGACCTGAGAATTAGGGGCACCACATAAAAGCCAGTGATTAGCAGAGACAGAATTGTTAAAGGTTCCACCAAAGATGCTACATAGCCTTTAGAAATTGTGAGATACATAAGAAGTACAAATGAATGCAGTCATACATACATGCTAAGGCCTCTGCTGCTGTTGCTGCTTATCTAGAGAAACTGCAGACAGCTCAGGTTTACCATAGCTGACGGGCAATGAAAACAGTCTAATATACCGCCTGCTCTCTCCCTTAAATCCCCTTTTGGAGATCAAGATAAACACATTCTTCCTTTCCCCAGTGCTCCAGACGTTTGACTGAAGTGGCAGAGCATTGTGAGGTTTTGCGCAAATGAAATCACGGTGTAATACTGAATGAGTGTAGTATTTACTTGTCAGGATATTTGTCAGCACAGGCATTGAGATTTCCAAGTTTCACAGATGCAACTTAGTTCAATTTTTTAAAAAATTGCTTTTGTCCTAATATACATATTATGTTGGGGACCCTTACAGATTTACAGGCAAATATCTGCAATCACGTGTTGAGGATGTGAAAAATAACGATGCATATCAATGGAATAAAAAATGAAATCTAATGCTGTTTCCCCCCCTTAATTCAATCCTTCTTCCTTTAAACAATCCTTGGTGGGTCAGGGCAATGTTCTATTTTTAAAGAAGCAGGGAGTACAAAATTCCTCCTGCATCTAAGAATTAGGCTACACAAGCTGAGTCCTTGCTGCACTCCTCCTTCTCATTAGGATATTTCCATTCTCAAGAGGATATGAGGAGGAGTTTTGTAAATTTACTGAGCAATCGCCCTCACTGTACTTCATCAATTATTCTAGAAGTTAAAGTCACTCTAAGATCTGTCAGATTATTGATAAAGGTTTGGCTAAGGCAGAAAGAGAGATAAATATGAGAAAGAGTAAGTGGGAGCAGAGAAAAAGAGGTAAAATAGGGACAAAAGAAAGGAGAAAGGATGAGAGAGTGGAAAAGGGAGGGGGAGAAGAAAGAGGAAGGAGAAGGAAAAAATGCAATAGCTCATCTACTCAGTGCTGCTCACACCACCTCCCTGACCTGGGAGGACTACATTTTTAAAAGCTGACAAG